GCTTATTGGCTGTTGCCCCACTAAACATAAACTCCAAAAGAACAGGGACTTTGTTTGATCCTATTCTGTACCTATAGCCTGGCCTGTAGCAGGTACTCAATAATGGCTGCAAAATGAAAAAAAAAAAAAAATACACACACACACAAAGACAGGCTGAGGCCTGGTATGGGGGCTCACACCTGTAATCCCAACACTCTGGGAGGCTGCGGTGGGTGGATTGCTTGAGGCCAGGAGTTTAAGACCAGCCTAGGCAACACAGCAAGACCCCTATCTCTACAAAAAGTAGAAAAATTAGATGGGTATGGTGGCACATGCCTGTAGTTCCAGCTACTCAGGATGCTGAGGCAGGAGGATCACATGAGCCCAGGAGTTGGAAGCTGCAGTGAGCTATTGATCAGCTTATACTGATCATGAAATGTAAGCCAGAACTGTCGCAGCCAAGAGGGGTCTAAGGAGACGTGATGGGATCTCTGAAGAAATGAATGGATGATGCTGTAACAATTTGGATGACTCTCAAAAACATCATGTTGAGTGAAAGAATCAAATATAAGAGCATATCCTAGGCTGGGTGTGGTGGTTGACACCTATAATCCTAGCACCATGGAGGCTATGGCGGGTGGATTGTTTGAGCTCAGGAGTTTGCAACCAGCCTGAGCAAGAGCGAGACCCTGTCTCTACTAAAAAAAAAATAGAAAGAAATTAGCTGGACAACTAAAACTCTGTGTGTGTATGTATGTGTATTTATATATATATGTATATATAAATTAGCAGGACACAGTGGCGCATGCCTGTAGTACAGCTACTCGGGAGGCTGAGGCAGGAGGATTGCTTGAGCCCAGGAGTTTGAGGTTGCTGTGAGCCAGGCTGATGCTATGGCACTCTAGCCTGGGCAACAGAGTGAGACTCTGTCTCAAAAAATAATAATAATAAAAAGAAAAGAAAAGAGCATATCCTGCATGCTTCTATTTATGAACTTCAAAGACAGGCAAAATTAGCCCATGGGAAATGGTAGAACAGTGGTTACCTCGAGGTAGGAGATACTATTGACGAGGAATTGTGAGGGAAGTTTCAGGGGAGATGGAAGCATTCTACAACTTTTAGGAGCTGGTTAAATGAATTTAAAAATTCATCACACTGGCACTAAGATATGTGTACTTTACTATCTGTTGCTCATACTGCAATTTTATAAAATGACTACAAAACAAAAAGGAGAACGAGTTCAAACTGGCTGATGAACATGCTTCAGACAAGAGGCATGAGATAGAACCAGAGGCAAAGACGCCTTCTAGACGTCTGGAACCACAGGAGCCCCAGGAGAGACAAAAGAGGAAACCTCAAATGCAGCCAGGGATGAGAGAGCCAAAGACTCGGAGAGCTCAGGTAGGTGACCTCAGGTCACCCGGCAAAGAGGGTGTTGGTGCTGGGAGGGACAACCTGGCCCACAAGGTCAGTGTCTAAGCACCATCCCAGGGATTAAATGAGGTGATGTAGACAAGTGCTTAGCCAGCACTTGGCATCTGGTGGCTGGGTGAGCCCAAGACGTAACTCCATCCGAGGTCTCACCCACTCTGGGGCACTGGGCTGATGCAACCCAGGGTCAAAATCTTCACTGGGGGCTGGGCACAGTGGCTCACGCCTATAATCCTAACAGTCAGGGAGGCTGAAGTGGGAGGATTAGCTGAGCTCAGGAGCTTGAGACCAGCCTGAGCAAGAACAAGACCCCACCTCTACTGAAAAATAGAAAAATTAGCCGGGTTTTATGGCGAGATCCTGTAGTCCCAGCTACTTGGGAGGCTGAGGCAGGAGGATCGCTTGAGCCCAGGAGTTTGAGGTTGCAGTGAGTGCCATTGCACTCTACCTGGGGCAACAAAGCAAGACTGTCTCAAAAAAAGAAAAAGCAAAAGAAAAGAAATCACTATGGCTTTTCATACTTTTAATCTAGATATTTTACTTCTAGAAATTTATTTTACAGCTATATTCCCAACAAGTGTGAAAAGACATACAAATAAGGTCATCTACTGCCGCACTGCTATAAGAGTGAAATGGAACCACTTCAGTGTTCCTCCCTAAGGGGCTGGCTGGACACTGGTACCTCCATGCCATGGACTATCATTTAAATAGAATGAGGCAGCTCTTTACAGACTTACAGGGCAGGTGTGCCAAAATGTGTTGCCAAGTTACAAACAAGTGCCAGTGGCTGCATCTAGAAAGGGCCACCAAGGGAGAGCTACTGTTCACTATATGTCCTTTTGAATTTTGTACCATGTGAACCAATTATATGTTCACATAAACCAAACACACACACACACATCTTGATTGTGCCTAGAACTCAGGGCAGGGCAAACTGGTCCCTGCAAGTCTGGGAGGGATGGGGAGGCTGCCCTGACCCAAGTGAGGGCAGTCTAGAGCCCGCCTGCTGAGCTGGTGAAGTGGGAGGGATTAGTGGAGCCAGAATCACAACATTACCTGCTTCCTGTGAAAAGAATCCTGCCACAGGCGGATGCCTGGAGAATTTCTTCTTAAGTAGAAAGATGTGTGACCCCAGGAGTCTAACCGATCAGTAAGAGGCACAGGGGAGGCTGGGTACAGTGGCTTATGCCTGTAACCCCTATACTTTGGGAGGCTCAGGCAGAAGGATCACTTGAGCCCAGGAGTTCGAGGCTGCACTAAGCTATGATTGCACCACTGCACTCCAGGCCTGAGAGACAAGAGTAAGATCTCATCTCTGAAAAAATAAATAAAAAAGAGGAGGTACAGGGGAGCCACCAAATATGGCGCTGGAGCAAGGGCTGTGTATCAGACAGATCCAGTCAGAACCCCAGTTCTGCGACTGAAGCCCTAGGTGACCACAGCAAGCCACTCAATTTCTCTAAGCCATGGTGTCTTCACCAGTAAAATGGGCAGAGAGAATGAAATGACGTGATCAGGGCACCTTGCTGGCTCACGGTAGATGTGGACTGAGCATGTGCCTGTTTATAGCTCAGAGGCTGGCTCGGCGCCACTCCTGCAGCCCACACATACAGAAAAGTGCCGGCACATACAGGTAGAGTAGAACGGTAAGAAGGCAAATGTCTATGTCACCAGCACCAAGGTGATCCATAAGCCTCTGTGTGTCCCTTTCTGATCCAATCCCCGCCCTCCCTGAGAGGTGCATACCTTCCTGATCACTCTGTAAGTATTACTAGGTGTCCAGCATCATTTGCTTAATATTATTGCATGTAATTGTAGATTTCATTTTCACTGCTAAATAGTATGAACAACCATGATGTCAGTATCCATTCTGGTTCCAGTTTGGGATTGTTACAGACAATGCTGCTAGTGACATTTTTGTGCATGTATCTGGATGTACATGTTATAAACATAATTGCTGGGTAATGGGGTGTGCTTATCTTCAATTTTACTAAACACTGTTTTCCAAAGAGACCCAATTGAGGATTTTTAATATTTACCAGCCTTCGTCTGAGCACCGCTACCATCTGGTGGCAGCTACATGTATTGCAGGATACAGAAAAGTGATTTCACTGCATTCTGGGAGGTCACCTTCTTTTTTTTTTTTTTTTTTGAGACAGAGTCTCGCTTTCTTGCCTAGGTTAGAGTGAGTGCCGTGGCGTCAGCCTAGCTTACAGCAACCTCAAACTCCTGGGCTTAAGCAATCCTCCTGCCTCAGCCTCCCGAGTTGCTGGGACTACAGGCACGAGCCACCATGCCCGGCTAATTTTTTTTTATATATATATTAGTTGGCCAATTAATTTCTTTCTATTTTTTATAGTAGAGACGGGGTCTCGCTCAGGCTGGTTTTGAACTCCTGACCTCGAGCAATCCGCCCGCCTCGGACTCCCAGAGTGCTAGGATTACAAGCGTGAGCCACCGCGTTCGGCCGGAGGTCACCTTCTTGAACCCTGTTTAGGTAACAAAACCACCAAGTACTCTATGATATTCTAGGATTCAACCAGTTTTCATGGAAGCAGAGAATTGTCTACTGATTTCTATATACCACCATACAGCGTCTAGGTTTCCTGATGTGTAGAGGGGTGCGGTGGGTGATTAAGAGGTCCTGCAGGGTAGGCATGTGGTGGTCATGGGGTAGGTGTCCAGAAAAGGTAGCTTTTATCATAGTAGCACACAACCAGAAGCCTGGACCCTGGGGTGAGAACAGGCAGCCAGCAGCACAGCCAAAGGGTAAATAAAATGTTCAAAAATCCTTCTAAATGGGCAAGCCCACAAAAGAACAGGCCAAGGGGCAGAAGGCCTGAGAACCCTGTGTGTTCCCTGCAATCACTGTAACCAGATCCTTTCTCAGGGCTGGGTGGGGGCAAGTGAAAGAAGGTCACAGGAGAATGACCCCCACACAGAGACAGTAGTCAGCGAGGCCAGGCTGCAACTGGTGAGTGACCACCCAGCTTTCAGGCCCACTGCCACAACAATCAGGAACACTGTGACCAGACTGAAGCCCCGACATCAGGCTTCCAGCCCTCAGACAGGAGACAGCTCCTCTGGGCAAAGAGCAGACTTCAGTCAGAGCCGCCACAGAGGAACCTGCATGGAGGGATGAGAGCGATCGTCGGGGGCTGCAGGGACGGACGGAAGGAACCCTGCACTGTGACCCCACCGGCTGTAACCAGATGAGGGGTAGTTGTCTGCACCTCGGTTTATCAATAAAATGAGGGTGTTTTTTTTTTTTTTGAAACAGAGTCTCACTCTGTTGCCTGGGCCAGAGCATCAGCCTAGCTTACAGCAACCTCAAACTCCTGGGCTCAGGCAAGGGATCCTTCTGCCTCAGCCTCCTGAGTAGCTGGGACTACACGTTTTTCTTTTAATTTTTATTTTTTAGAGACAGTGTCTTGCTCTGTCACCAGCCTGGAGGTGCAATGGCAAAATCATAGCTCACTGTAGCCTTGAACTCCTGAGCTCAAGCGATCCTCCTTCCTCAGCCTCCTAAGTAGCTGGGACTACAGGCGCACGCTACCATGCCCAGCTAATTTTTAAATTTTTTGTAGAGACAGGGTCTTACTATGTTGCCCTGGCTGGTCTCAAGCAATCCTCTTGCCATTGTGCCTGGCCTAAAATGAGGGATCTGGAATAAGTTTCTTTCTAGCATCCATTCCACAACCCTAGGAATTAGGAACTCCTCTAAGGGCAGGAAAGTTATCAAGGGAATAGCTTCTAGAATCTGACTACTTTGGGCTGATGTCCCAGGCCTGGCACTCTTTAAACCTTTGACCAGCCCGCTGAACATCCCTAAGCCTCAGATTCCTTAGTGGAAAGTGGGTGTTATAAACACCCTGTTACTATTTCCTCCTATCCTTCAGTGATGTTTTTCCAGAAGGCAAGAATCCCTGGAGCAGATCTGTGGTTCCCTTGATGGGACATCATCCCATTCCACCTTGCCTCTCTGGGAGGAGGGGGAACTGCTTACCCTCAGAGGGATCTGGGTCCCAGGTCCCTGAGTCGAGGATGTGACTGCAGACACCCTAAAAGAGCACCATTGCTTAATTCTCTCAACTGATGCGAGGCAGCTACTGATGCTGCCCGTCTGACAGGTGATGGGAGGTGGGAAATCACACACCCTGCTGGAAAGTGGTGGAGCAAGAACTTGAACCCAGGCCTGCCGGATCCCAAAGCCCAGCTCTTATGCAATGCAACTCACTCACTAGCGATGCTTACCAAAAGACACTGGTTTTGGTTCTGCGAGCCATAGCCATGGGCAATCTGACTCAGCTCTCCTCTCCGCCCATTATTCCAGAACCAAGCCTGCTCAGGGCTGTGCGAAGTCATGGCCAAGATTCCATTCATGACCAAAATTCCCCCTTCAGGTCTACCTGGCCCTCCCTCCCCTTTCCACCTCCACCGCAGGCCTGGGCACTAAGACATGCAGGGATAAGCAAGGCAGGCCCTGTCCTCAGGGAGATCACAGTGTCAGGGCTGCCACGACTCAAAGCTCCAGAGCACAGCTCAGGGCCTTTTATTGTGGAGTAAGTGCCTGCCAGGGTTTCCCATTTAGCTACAGAGACATTAAGAGAAAGGGAAATGACAGCAGTAACAAAATATGCTTGTAAGTACCACTGGGACTCTCCTGTTAAGTGATGCACAACAAATACAGGAGAAATTTAATCTGCACGAGATCCCAGGGAGGGAGTCGATGCTGAGAAAGCTACTGTGCTTGCGACTGGGGACCTTGCTCTGGCAGAAGAAGGAAGAGGAAAACAGTAGGAAAAAGTGGCTGGGAAAAGTAAAACTGGTGATGATAATGCTAACAATTCTAGTCAAAATATGTGCACAGAGACACAGACATATGCACACACTTCCGCTCCCACACAGCCCTGAGGGAGGCAAGGCACAGGTGAGAAAATGAGGCACAGAGAAGGGAAAGGACGGGGTCGCAGAATCAGCTAAGAAGTGGAAGGTGGGACCAGGGCTTGGTCACCCGCTCTGGGAAGCTGCCCAGGAGAGCAAGAGCCCAGGCCGGGCCCAAGCTTCCCCCACAGCCTCTGGCTCAGTAGGATACGAACTCAGCGCGCTCCTACTGGGGGATGGTTTCTCCCGCATACCGAGGGAATGCCAGCAGAACAGACTCCACTTAGTAAAAACTTTTCTTAGCTGACTGATTTTTGACTTCATGCAATTGTTCTCCAGGGTTAGTGGCTTAATTTTGAGGAGCTCTAGCATTCCAGGTGGAAGTTTAGCCACATGCTTCTGCAGGGGCCACTGTCCCCTTTCATATGGCAGCAGCTGTGGAGCAGAGGTATAAAAAAGAGGGGATGGAGGACCGACTTCAGAGCACATCTTAGAGACCAACTTTTTAGAATATTTATTTGGCATAATGATCTTCCAAGGGGCCAGACACATTAGCTAGCACTGTTCTTAGACCTGGGCAACTAGGGCTCCTGGCCTGGCCAGTTTTAGCGGGCTCCACTCGCCCTCTCCACAGGGTGAGGAGGGCCAGGGGTCCACCCGAAGCCCACCCACTTCCCCTGCACCTGGAGCTCCAGGCCCTAGCCCTGCTCCCATGAGCCTCTCTCCTGGATCCTGACTCCCAGAAGTGAGCTCCACTGTTGGTGTGTGCACTCCTAAGCCCAAGGAGTGGCCAAGGGGCAGTTGTTTGACAGAGCTGGGATGGCCACACACATGTGCCTGAGTCCCTTCATGGTGAGAAGAGGAGGGGTGACTCCCTTCATTTGTACTCTAGCCCCTGGAGCCATAAACATTTACCAGGAAAATAGTTTTTTGTAGTTGTTTTAGTTTTTGTTTTGAGATGGGGTCTCACTGTTGCCTAGGCTGGTCTCTAACTCCCAGGCTCAAGTGATCCTCATTTGCAGACGTGGTCTGGAAACTTCATCAATCAGTGTTATGAAGGTCTATAAAGGGTTAAAAGAGATTTAAGATAATTTATATAGTGACTTTCTTCCAAAAGTTATAATACAGAAAGGGGGGAAAGAAAGAGTCATTTTAGAGTGGAGAAACCTGACAAACAAAGACTTCAGCCAGGTGATTAAATGTACTCTTTTTCTTTTTTAAGTTGCTTTTTTTTTTTTTTTGAGAACTCTGTTACCCGGACTAGAGTGCCGTGGTGTCAACCTAGCTCACAGCAACCTCAAACTCCTCCTGCCTCAGCCTCCCGAGTAGCTGGGACTACAGGCATGCACCACCATGCCCGGCTAATTTTCTGTATATATATTTTTAGTTGGCCAATTAATTTCTTTCTATTTATAGTAGAGATGGGGTCTCGCTCTTGTTCAGGCTGGTTTCGAACTCCTGACCTCGAGCAATCCGCCCGCCTCGGCCTCCCAGAGTGCTAGGATTATAGGCGTGAGCCACCGCACCCGGCCTAAATGTACTTTTGATGATGTTATGAAAATGGCACTTTACCTTGCTGGTCTCCTTCTGAAAAACCATGAACCGGTCTAATCGTAAAAAAAAAAAATCAGACAAATCCCAACTGAAGCATAGTCTACAAATTACCTGACCAATACTCCTGAAAATTGTCAAGGCCACAAAAAAACAAGGAAAGTCTGAGAAACTAGCAAAGGCCAGAAGAGATCTAAGATGATTAAATGTAATGTGGGATCCTGGACCAGAAAAAGGACATTAGGAAAAAAACAAAGGAAATTTGAATAAACTATGGACTTTAGTTAATGATAATATATGAATGCTGGTTCATTAATGATGACAAATGTACCATGCTCATGTAAGAAGTTAATAATAGGGAAAACTGAGTGTGGGATGTATGGGAATTCTTATTATCTTTGTAATTTTTCTAAAACTATTCTAAAATATGGCCAAGTGCAGTGGCTCACACCTGTAATCCTAGCACTCTGAGAGGCTAAGGCATGGGGTTCCCTGGCTGGGGAAAGCAAAAGTTTTTTTTCTTTATATTTAAGAAAGGAAAAGAGAGAGAGAGAGACAGACAGACAGGCAGGCAGGCAGGCAGGCAGGCTAAGGTGGGGATATCGCTTGAGGCCATGAGTTTGAGACCAGCCTGAGCAAGAGTGAGACCTTATCTTTACAAAAATAGAAAAATCAGCCAGGTGTGGTGGTGTGCACCTGTAGTCCCAGCTACTTGGGAGGCTGAGGCAGGAGGATCACTTGAGCCCAGTAGTTTGAGGCTGTAGTGAGCTATGATGATACCATGACACTCTAGCCCAGGAAACAGAGCAAGAACCTGTCTCTAAAACAAAACAACAAAACTATTTTAAAATAAAAATTTTACTTAAAAAGAGAGAGATCTGGCTGGGAGCGGTGTGGCTCATGCCTGTAATCCTAGCTCTCTGGGAGGCTGAGGCGGGCGGATTGCTCAAGGTCAGGAGTTCAAAACCAGCCTGAGCAAGAGCCAGACCCCGTCTCTACTATAAATAGAAAGAAATTAATTGGCCAACTGATATATATATAAAAAAATTAGCCGGGCATGGTGGCACATGCCTGTAGTCCCAGCTACTCCGGACGCTGAGGCAGAAGGATCGCTCGAGCCCAGGAGATTGAGGTTGCTGTGAGCTAGGCTAATGCCATGGCACTCACTCTAGCCTGGACAACAAAGCGAGACTCTGTCTCAAAAAAAAAAAAAAAAAAAAAAAAAGAGAGAGAGATCTAAGGAACATAACAACCAGGTGAAATACACAGATCCCAGTTTATACAAACCAACACAAAAATGTCCTTTTAACAGGTATATACATACATAATGAGTGAGATCTGCACCATCTGGGGGATGGTCATGCTGGAAACTCAGACTTTTGGGGGTGGGGGGGAAAGGGCATTTATTGAAACCTTAAAATTTGTATCCCCATAATATGCCAAAACAAACAAACAAAAAAAATTTTTTAAAAAAATGTCCTTTTGGGAACTATTAGAAAAATTTGCATAACTATTAGGTGATATTGTAATTATTAAAGATTTCTTTGCCTAAGTAAGGTTTCTTACATTATGTAGAAAAATATTATTTTTAAAAGATGTATACTGGAAAAAAAATTTTTTTAAGAGACAGGGTCTTGCTATGTTGCCCAGGCTGAAGTGCAGGTGCTATGTGCAGCCTAGGTCATAGCTCACTGCAGCCTCAAACTCCTGGGCTCAAAGCGATCCTTCCACCTCAGCCTCCTGAGTAGCTGGAACTACAGGTAGGCACCATGCATTGCTTGAATAAAGAATTTCTATATGCTCTCAGAATAAATTCCAAACTCCTTCCATCCACTTCCCATCAAGCTAAGCCTTTGTAAGCTCTGATGTAACCGACCTCTCTAACCTATTTTTGTGCCATTCTCCACTTCACTACCACAATCCTGCCACACCAGCCTTCCTTCTGGCTCATGCCTGCTTTTAGGGCCTTTGCCCAGGTTGCACCTCCGCTAGAATGTCCTTCCTATGATTGCCAAAACTTAAGTAGCCCCCATCTATTGCGCTTTCTCATCATCCTATTTACTTCCTTCTGAGCAGCATCTTGTTTGCTCTCTGCCTCCCCCTACTGGAATGTAAGCTCCTTGAGGGCAAAGACCCTTTCCCAATTTGTTGACCATCTACCTCCCCAGCATTTACAACAGTAGCTCATACAGTACATGCCTAATAAGTATCTGTCCAATGAGCAATTCAATAGGTCCTAAGATCATAACAACTGCGAGAGCTATAAGCTACAGATTCCAAGTCATCTCTAATTCTCTTAATTAAAACATTAAGTGGGCCAGGTGTGGTGGCTCACTCCTGTAATCCTAGTACTCTGGAGGCTAAGGCGGATGGATTGCTCGAGGTCAGGAGTTCAAAACCAGCCTGAGCAAGAGCGAGATCCATCTCTACTATAAATAGAAAGAAATTAATTGGCCAACTAATATATATAGAAAAAATTAGCCAGGCGTGGCGGCGCATGCCTATAGTCCCAGCTATTCGGGAGGCTGAAGCAGGAGGATTGCTTGAGCCCAGGAGATTGAGGTTGCTGTGAGCTAGGCTGACACCACGGCACTCACTCTAGCCTGGACAACAAAGTGAGACTCTGTCTCAAAAAAAAAAAAAAAAAAATTAAAGTGTTTTTTTTGTTTGTTTGTTTAAAGGCAGAGTCTAGCTCTGTCGTCACAGCTAGAGTGCAGTGGCGTCATCATAGCTCACTGCAACCTCCCACTCCCAGGCTCAAGCGATCCTTTTGCCTCATCCGTCCAAGTATCTGGGATTACAGGCGCGTGCCACCACGCCAGGCTAACTTTTCTATTTTTAGTAGAGATAGGGCCTCGCTCTTGCTCAGGCTGGCCTAGAGCTTCCAACCTCAAGCAATCCTCCCACCTCATCCTCCCCCAGAGTGCTACGATTACAGGTGTGGAAAAATGTTTTTGAAAAAACTTACAAACTTTCTTACTTCCAAGTGACTTCAATCCATATTCTTGTTTATGATGAGGGAGGGCAGACATGCAGAACGGGTCGCGGGCTTGAGTTCCAGACCTGTCTCAAGGTAGCTATGACCTGGACAACGTGTGAACGGCGGAGGTGGCACAGACATCGCGAAGGTCTGCTTTTACGGCTGAGGGACTGCCTGAGACATTCCTTTCCCAACTCACTTATCTCACCCCAGTCCATCAGGCACCTGGGGAACCGGCCCTACCCTTACCAATAGCAAACTCCACCAGGGTCTCATTCTCCTCCGACAGTGAATCGAGAAATAAGTCCAGGACTTGCAGCTGCCGCAGATACTGGTAATTGTTGGGGTCATAGGCGAAGTTGGCGAGGTTGGCAAGGACTTGCTCCTTGGCGTCTGCAACGGGAAGGCGGCACTAGAGCCAGGTCCGGGCGGCAGTCGCGGCCAGACCCTGTCCGGTCCCCCGGTCCCCACCCCGCGGCTCTCACCTTGGCTCTCTGTCTCCTGGAATTCCGTGACCAGCGCCTGCAGGTATCCCAGGCGCCCGACGTGGGGGTCTACCTTCGGCTTCTGGGCCATAATCCGGTCGGTGGAGGACCGGGGGACGGGAGGGAGAGTGGGAAAAGCGAAGCCGGAAGGCTGGGCGAGAACTTCCCCCAGCCCGGGCAGGGCGGACGGGCGCGGCAAATGGGGGCCTTTTCTGGGTTCAGAGTCTGCAGTAATTGCAGCTGGAAATGGGATGTGGGAAAGGGAGTGGGGTTTTAAGACCCTGTAAGAATCGGGTTTGAAAATCGAAAGAGACGCGGGAGCCAGTCGCAGCGGGAGGACGACGTAGCGGCCGCCAAATCTCCACTCCCGGGATGGGTTCCCAGCCTCCGGCGGAAGCTGCGCTAGCCCCGCCCCCAGAGGGCGGAAGGTGCGAGACCCAGCAGGCGAGGGGCGGGGCCGCCGCTGAGGTCCTTGGTGCGCGTGCGCGGCGCGCCACAGGCCCTAAGCCTGGGGCCTGCGGGAGCTGCTCGGCTGAGGCCGCTGCGGGAATGGGTATTCCTGGAGGGGCACCTCTGGGGCTCTTAGGACCACAGGGAAATCGGAGGGCGCCTGTGTCGAGGGACGTCGAGGCAGAAGCACCTCCAGAATCTCCACACCTGGCGGGGTGCAGCCCGGCCTCCTCCACCGGGGATGTCCCTTTGGAGCGTGGGTGTCAGCAACCTGCTCCCACATCGGTCCTTTGCCCCTATGGTTGGGTGTGCTTTTCCAGAAAGCCTATTGAACCCAACCCTCTCCTCCTCACCCCACCCCCCTGCAGCCCGGAGCTGGGTCCATCACCTCTGGACAGAAATCAGGAGACCTGTGTAAGGTCCTAAGGCTTTTTGTCAGCCAGGTGGACGGAGAGCGCCCCGGGCAGCACCGACTAGCTCTAGAAGGAGCCTTGGATGCCTCGAGCTTGGATGTACCGCTCTGGCACCTTTCTGGGTTGTGGAGCCCTAGATGCTTAAATCCTTTGGCCGATTCCTTCTAGGGGCTTCTCAGAAAGGTGGTGTGTGACTGAGACCTCGTGGTCACAGGGAACAGAGGACCAGGAAGGGAGGTGGCCTTTCAACACGTCCGTTGTGCTTGAAAATGTGGGACTTAGGCTGTGAGCTTCCTGAGAGTGTGAAAGTTGCCAGAATCAAAACGAGGGTCAAGTGCTTAAAAAACCCTGACAAATAGTGCCACGTGGCCCGCACCTATGGTCCCAGCTACTCAGAAGGCTGAGGAGCAGAATGGCTTGAGCCCTGAGTTTGAGGCTACAGTGTGGCAGGACAGTGCCTGTGAATAGCCACTGCACTCCAGCCTGGGCAATATAGCACGACCCCCCTCTCCAAAAAATAAAAAGAGGCCAGTGTGGTGGCGGGTGCACCTGTAGTCCCAGCTACTGGGGAGGCTGAAGCAGGAGGATCACTCGAGCCTAGGAGTTTGAGGTTGCAGTGAGCTATGATGACACCACTGTACTCTGGCCTGGGCAACAGAGTGAGACTCTGTCTAAAAAAAAAGAAAAAACTGTCACAAAAGATTCTGCAAAAAACCATAACCTTGCACAAAAGACCATTGCAACTTTACACAAAAAATACTTCTGGAAGGACATCTGCCCAGCCTATCCAACCTCAGACTAGACTCACCCTTGTTATTAGTCCTTGTAGCTAATGATAATTATTGCAAAACAATTATGTAATTCTCCTCATTTTTCCTTTAAGAACCTTGTCTTCCTTTACATCCTGAATATGCACATGGTTTACTGTGGCATGTGTATTCCCATGGCAATGCCCTATTGCCAGATAAGTATTTTAGAGAGCCTCTGTTACTTAGGTTAACAAGAGCAAGGACTGTCCTTCGGTGCTGGGCCTGGATTAAGGGTAGAGTGGCCACCACACTCCAACCTGCTACAGCTGCATTGAAAGCAGCCCCCACCTCTGAGGTTTCAGGTTCCTGTGGTCAGCCCCTGCCCTATGCACACCTGTGGGGCAGGAGTTTTGATCTTAGTCTGGCTGCTCTTGGTGAGGGTGGTGGCCTCAGGCCTCTATGCCCTTTGGCTTCTGTGGGAAATCTGTGTGGCCTGGGGAAGTGCATCTCAGCCCAAAGTGGCCAGGGGCCTTCTCTGCCTGGACAGGACAGCAAAGGGCAGCCCAGGGCTCGGGAGACAGGATGGAAATCAGCTCTGCTACTCTCTGGCCAGGAACTGTCCCAGGCCCTTTCTAGAAGATTCCCAGGAAATCAGCTCAGTGTGGGTTCTGGAATCAGATGGACCACGCCATCCTCCCTGGTGTCTGGTCTGAAGCTACGGCTTCAGAGCCATTCATTGAGGAAGAATTCTAGCCCTTGGTTTTGTGCTGAGGGCAGCAGCCAGGACTTACACCCCTCGGCCCAGTCCCTGGCACACAGTAGATGCTCAGTATTTATTGAAGGAATTCTGCCCAGAGATTATTGTCATTCTTGCCTAGGGGCAGATGAGGTCAAAGTTCCCTATTTACTGATAGCTTCTTTCCTTAAATGTTTTCAGGAAGGGGGCCGATTAGGGGATGCACAAGATATCAAAGTCTGGTCAATACTGGCACCATAAGCACCTACCTACCAGCCCCAACTCCCTCCTTCTCCACGCAGTTGAGATGGGGAAGCGGACAGGACCTGGTGACATGTGTCCAGGTGTTCTTTCTTCACAGCATGCGCTACGGATGGTGGCCAAGTACAAGCCTGGGTAGGGAGCTGGCGGAAGGCTGTGAGCGTCTCTGGACATTCAGAATCAGACTTCTCAAACTGGAAGAGCCTTTAGCTCATCCAGGCTAACTTCCTACTTTTTCAAGGCCCAGAGATGGTCAACAATTTGCCCAAAGTCACATGGCAAACTGTGGCAGAGTCAAACACAAACTCAGGTCTCTACCCCAGTCTAGAGCCCTTTGCCCCAGCTCTGCAGTACCCAGTGTGGCCATAAGGGGGCACTCGTGGCAGGGTCCTGGAGGACACGGGACATCCCCAAGGATGCTTATTCTCGCCAGCTGGACATGTGGAGGAGGAAGATTGGCATCCGTTCATGAAAATAAAATTGATTCTCCCGATCAGGTTTTCTCTCTGGAGCCTTGGTGAGCCTGAATCAACAGTGTCCTGAGCTGCCCGGGAGAAAGGAAGGGGGAGGGAAACACTCACTCCAGGCCTGTTTTCCAGCTTTATTAGTTCACAGAGTTTATGACCTGCTACAGGGAACATTTTTGTGTTTAATTCAAACACACTCTGTTTTCCCATTCCCTTGGTACCCTGCTGGGACAGGCCTGGGCTGATGACAGCCAGTCCCTGGGTGATGACCTGTACTGGGGGAGCTCTGACCTCCAGGCCCCAGGCTCAGGCCGACAGGAAGCAGGCTGGACTGGCAGCTGGCCCAGCCTGCAACTTACCCCAGGGCTGATACCTCTACCAGGGCAGGGAGAGGGGGGCCTCGGGAGGACAGGACGGGGAGCACATGGGCTTCTGTTGCAGAAGCAGCCTCATTTCACAGCAGTCTTCAAGCTGCCTAGCAAGCCTTCTTGCCCTGGTCAGTCAAATGTCTGGCTTCCCCTCACCCCAGCATTAACCTTCCCCACCAAGGTTCCAGGGTACCTTGGTATCTGAGAACAGTCAGGAGGGCTGCTCCTGGATCCTGCTGGCTGGAGGAACCCTGAGTGTTTAGAGGCTGCCTCTATGGTCCCAGCTCCTAGCTGAGTCCCAACTTGTAGAACCTGGACAGCCTAAGATCCAGGCTTCCTGGGCCACCCTTCACCCCAGCCCCTGGTGAAGCAGCTGGAGGTCCCATTCCTGGGCTGAGACAGTGGTCACTCACTGACCTCTGGGCTCAGACACTGGCCACATACACAATCTCAGGGCACAGCCACTTCTTGGGGCTGTCTTTTGCCTTCCAAAGAGGCAGAGGAAGGAAGAAGCCCCTGAGCAGGCCTTGCTGAGACTACAGAGGACCCTTCATACTTCACCGATTCCAGGACCCAAGCCAGGGGCTCCCCTCCTGCGCTCTGTGGAGGTGGCAGGATGGGCACTCCACTCGACCTTGAATCTGCCCCAATCCGGCATCCAGGCCAACCCCTCAGCCTGGCCCTCCACCACCGCCTCTCACAGTCAGCGTGAGGCCCAGCGACCTGTGTGGGGCAGCCACGCCACCAGCCTTGGCTGCCTTAAAGGTAAGGGCTGGGTCACTTGGGAAGAGGTGGGCAAGAGGGCCCTGGAGGAAGCTGAGCTCTTCAGACCTGTCTGCAGGCCAGAGAAGGACAAAGAGGAATGATGTCGGAGGCATCCCAGCTGCGCTGGAATGTGTAGTGTGTTGAGTCGTAGGAGCAGCAATGAGCAGCCAGTGAACTGAGCTGGCCATGGCAGACCCAGGTCCCTTGCTGTCTGAGAAGAGTCGGGAAGACTGCTCCTGGATTCTGCTGGCTGGAAGGAATCCTGAATGTTTAGAGGCCGCCTTCGTGGTCCCAGCTCCTCTGAGTCCCAGCTTGTGGAGTGTGGACAGCCTAAGATCCAGGCTTCCTGGGCCCCCCTTCACCCCAGCCCCTGGTGAAGCAGCCAGAGGTCTCATTCGTGGGCTGAGACTGTGGTCACTCACTGACCCCTGAGCTCAGACGCTGGTCACATACATGATCTCAGGGCACAGCTGCTTCTCGGGACTGTCTTTGCCTTCCAAGGTATGACCCCACTCTGGGGCAGCCTCCACTCTGGCTCCTTCCTCCTTAGCATGCCTGCCTTGCTGCTCCTTCTTCTGCAGGGAGTAGAAGCTGCCACCCATGAAGAGGGCAGCCGAAATGAGGAAGAAGCTTGACATGTAGAAAATGTAGCTGAAGTTGTTGGTGGTGTCCAGGAGGAACCCTGTGGGACAGAGAGCAAGTTAGTAGGCCACTGCCTGGGGCTACCAGGTCTCCCCCAGCTAAAGTGTGCTCCCTGAGAGCAGGGGTTTCATTTTTGTCTCTGCTGTACTAGGAATCGTGGCTGGCACCCCTAGGCACTTGATGGATGTTTATAGAATGAACAGGCGGAAAGAAACAGTAAACCTACTCTGGCCTGGGAAGAAAGGGTCTGCAGGCTGGGAAAGAAGGCAAAGGCATGCCCTTACCCTTGGCGACAGGGAGCTAGAGTCACCCACACCTCCTGGATAGCTCTCTCCACTTGTTTGCCTGAAGAACTCCCTTGGAAACTGGGACTTCCAATGCCACGCTTGGAGGAAGTGTCCCCACTGGGCTGGAGTCAGTCTCCTGGGTTTTACTGTAATCACCACCAGCACATGTCATGTGTTGGCTGCTCCAGCACCAAGGGCTTTGCGGACCTTCCCTCATTTGCTAGGATGTCATGCTCTCACGTGGGTCTCTACTACTTTTTTTTTTTTTAGACCGGGTTTCACTCTGTCACCCTAGGTAGAGTGCCGTGGCATCATCATAGCTCAATGCAGCCTCCAACTCCTGGGTTGAAGCGATCCTCCCACCTCAGCCTCCCATGTCTACAGGCACATGTCACCACATCCGCTGAACATTTAAATTTTTTGTAGAGATTGAGTCTCACTGTATTCCAGGGCTGGTCTCTCTCTATATTCTGTTTGTTTCCCTCCAAGCATAAATCATTGAATGGTCACAAATATGTCTCTTTGCTTTAGTTCCCAACTCCTCCACCAGAAGGTAGGCCCCCCCAGAGGGTGGGGACCTTAGTATTCAGCCATGAGCACCCAGCAACTGGCACAGGTAAATGGTTAGGGCAGGTATTCTTTTTATTCTTGAGAGAGAGTCGCTTTGTTGCCCAGGCTAGAGTGAGTGCCATGGCGTCAGCCTAGCTCACAGCAACCTCAAACTCCTGAGCTCAAGCAATCCTCCTGCCTCAGCCTCCCGAGTAGCTGGGACTACAGGCATGCGCCACCATGCCCAGCTAATTTTTTGTATATATATTTTTAGTTGGTCGATTAATTTCTTTCTATTTTTGGTAGAGACGGGGTCTCGCTCTTGCTCAGGCTGGTTTTGAACTCCTGACCTTGAGCGATCCGCCCGCCTTGGCATCCCAGAGTGCTAGGATTACAGGTGTGAGCCACCGCGCCTGGCCAGGGCAGGTATTCTTGTCTGCATTTTGTAGGTGACATTGTGTCCCAGAGAATGACTTGCCCAGGTCCTGCAGGCAGGAAGTAGAACTATGATGTTCATAACAGCAAAAACTGGCACGGCACTGACTACGCACCAAAGACTCTCTACTAAGCCCTGTGCCATGTGACTCGGACCCTCACAAAAAGCCTGTGAGGAGATTCCACCTATCCCCACTTTACTGATGGGAAGACAGAGGCACAGGAGGAAGACGAAGCACTCGGGTTGGTCTGGCACACAAGCCCATGTTTTTCGCTGTCCATACCCCCCAGGCCACACCTGGCACATCTGGCTTCTCCCCCCACCCCCCCAGGGCCTCACCAGCCAGCGGCGGGGAGATGAGGACAGCGACGCCTTCCAGGGTGGTGAAGAGGCCCAGGGCGCTGGGGAATCGATGCATGGGGACAAGGTCCATGAGGACCTGGAAGATGAGGGCACCGATGCAGCTCATGGACACGCTGTACACCAGGCAGTAGCCCACTAGCACCCGGAAGTCGGCCGACACTGCGCACACCAGGTTGGTGAGTCCGTTGAGCAGGACTGCCAGGCAGAACAGGTACTTGCGGTGGCTGGCAAAGGCCCGCTGGCTTGCCACCAGCCCGGCCATGGGCCGCAGGAAGATGTTGCTAAGGCCAATGATGGAGATGAGCAGGGCTGCCCGCTGCTCGTCCACGCCATGCCACATGGCGTATGGCACCAGGAAGACATGTGGCAGCGGGAAGCCCACGATCATCCACGTCACACCCAGCGTGTAGACGCAGTAGCGCACGTTGTGCTGTAGGATGTCAAAGGCCAGGTGCCGCTGGACGGTCCGGCCACATACTGCCAGACAGCCCAGGACAGGCGTCTTGGGAGGTAGAAGGGGAACATCTCTGGTCTCAAGGGCCCTGTTAGTGGCCACAGGCCTCAGGATGGCCCCACAGACGCAGCAGTGGAGAAGGACCCCGCCGAAGACAAGGAAGGCTCCCCTCCAGCCCAGGCCTTCGAGCAGGTAGAGCGACAGCAAGGGCCAGAGCGTGATGCCGAGGGAGACACCCGCTGAGGCCAGTGCGTTGGCCAGCGCCCGCCGGCGGATGAAGTAGAGTCCCAGCACCGTGATGCTGGACTGGAAGCTGAAGCACATGCCCAGGCCTGCGATGGGAGAGAGGGAACCGGCTTGGGGAAGGTTCTAGAGCCTTCCACCTGCTCCCAGAGCGGGGTCAGGGGTCATTGCACAAGTCTCCCCACTCCTTCACTTCTAGCCCAGACCCACCTCCAAGTCCCCAGGGAATGAAGACGGAATCAGCCTGCCTCGCCACCTCCCTGTAAGTGTCCCACCCCAGATCTGCCCTCCCCTTGCACCAGAGGGATCTTTTAAAAACCTAAATTGAACTAAGTCTCTCCCTGCTTAACACCTTCCAAAGACTTCCCATCACACTTGAAGAATATCCAAAGCATCTACTATGCCCTGGAAGGCCTGTGCCAGTTGGCTCTGGGCCACCTCTGAGATGTCAGCTGAGGCCACTCCCTGTCACTCACTGGGATCAAGCTTCTTTCTGGATGCTTCCTCCTGACTTCTCACCTCTCGTCTCAGCTCAGACGCCACCTGCCCAGAGGGGCCTTCCCAGACCCCCACCGGCTCCATGCCTGCACCTGCACAGCTGAGCATGCTGGAGCGAAAGCTCAAGACCACATGTGACCACTGGCCTTGGGGCTGGAGCTGCACGTGATGTCGCTGCGGCTCCCTCGGTCATGCCCTCGTGGGCTCCCTTGGCTCCAAGACCACGTGGGCCTCTTCTTCTTGTGTGCATGCCAATACTGCCTCCCCGGCACCCGCGGTGACTTGGCCACCCACGCCCCCAGCGTCTGTCCCTCTTCTGCCTGTGTCCTGTCTATTCAGAGGCATCCTCCAGCAAGTCCCCCTCTCCTTTATCGTCTCCTCTGTGCTAGATCACTATCCCTCACTGGTACTTTTCCCATTAAAAATCCCCCCAAAAAACCTCTCTTAACTCCACAACACCTTGTGGGTTCTGGCCCGTTTCTCTGGTCCCTTCTCATCAAAATCCCGTGGCAGCATTGTTTACCTCTGCTGTCTCCTCCCCTGATTCCCCTCCTGTTCGCTTTTTTTTTTTTTTTTTTTTTTTTTTTTTTTTTTTTTTTTTTTTTTTTTTTTTTTTTTTTTTTTTTGAGACAGAGTCTCGCTTTGTTGCCCAGGCTAGAGTGAGTGCCGTGGCGTCAGCCTAGCTCACAGCAACCTCAAACTCCTGGGCTCGAGTGATCCTTCTGCCTCAGCCTCCCGGGTAGCTGGGACTACAGGCATGCGCCACCATGCCCGGCTAATTTTTTTATATATATATCAGTTGGCCAATTAATTTCTTTCTATTTATAGTAGAAACGGGGTCTCGCTCTTGCTCAGGCTGGTTTTGAACTCCTGACCTTGAGCAATCCGCCCGCCTCGGCCTCCCAAGAGCTAGGATTACAGGCGTGAGCCACAGCGCCCGGCCTCCTGTTCGCTTTTGAACCTGTTCCAAGCCCACCTTCACCGTCACCTCCGACCAGACGGCTCCTACAGAGGTCTGCAGCTCCACGTGGCCCAATCCCACGGTCGAGTCTGGGCCTCACCTTATGTGACTCATCGGTGGCTTGACACACTTTACTCGCCGTCCTGAGAAACTCTCCTGTACTCCTCTACCTCTCCGGTCACTTCTTCCTGCCCAGGCCTCTACACACTGGCGGGGCTCGGGGCTCAGCCCTCGGTCCCTTTCAGCTGTCCACCCTCGCTCTGGCGGCAGGGCACCAGCTCAGCTCAAGGCCAGCGCCACCGTCTCACCACACCTGTGCTGCTGGCACCAGCTCAGGGGCTCTGCTTGAACTCCAGGCTGGCTGTGTCGCACCTGAGGCTCCCCTGGTGTCCCCATCATAGTTAATGGCTACTCTGTCCTCGCAGGGGCTGGGGAGAGCAAACCTTGGTGTCACCCATCTTCCCACAGCTCGCATGCAATGCCCGAGCCTTACTTCTTCTCATCACTACCATTGCACCAGCGGGTTTGAGCTGCCGCCATTTCATTCCTGGCCTGTGACCATGCCCCAGTGCGTTCTCAACACCACCCCAGAGCGATGCCTCACAAATATCACCCCCATGCAGAACCCCTCAGATGGCTTCCTCGTCACTCCAGAACCTTCCAGCCCCCACCACACCTCTTCAACTGCCTTGTTCACGCCGCTCTAACCTACTGGCCTCCTCACCGCTCCTGAACTTCCTGAACTTTGCACTTGCTGTTCCCTCCACCTGGAATGCTCTTCCCCAGAGAGCTTGTGTCGGATTCCCTCAGGTCTCTGCTCAAAGGTCACCTTCTCTTTGTCACCTTCTCTTCTAGGCCCTCCCCTGCCCCACACTGTTGACAACAGCACCCTCCTGCCCAGCCCTGCTTCACTGTCTGCATTGGGTGTCCTGGTTTTTCACCTCCTGACTTGCTTAATTGTCAACCCACCCCCACCCCCACCCCCACCCCGGGCCAGGATGCTATTGCTTCACCTGTCCTGCGCTTTCATGCATTGCCATGGGCAGAGTGTTTAGACACTCTCGTGTATCTCATCGTTGCCTGTCTCCCTCACTAGACTGTAAGCACTTCCAGGAGATCAAGAGGCTTGCCTGCCCCGTCCACTCATGCCTGGCACTTTTTAGCAGGTTTTCTGGAACTGGAACGACAGTTACCTGTGATGAGTCCAGCCGTGAGGTAGAGCTGGCTGAGGGTGCGGGAGAAGGAGCCGGCCACCATGCCCAGGCTGGCCAGCACGCCCCCCAGCATCGCAGTCACTCGGCAGCCAAAGCGCTCCACCAGGACGCTGCACAGGGGCCCTGTGGGGAGGACACAGCCGGCGGGCGGCAGCTGAATGAGCAGGTCAGGAGGGAGGAGGGCAGCAGGGCTGGGGGAGGGCAGTTCCAGCAGGAACTAGCCAGGTGGCTTCAAGGGCAGGAGCCCTGGAGCCTGCAGGCCTGGGTTCCAGTCCCTACCCTGCCACGACTGGCTGTGTGGCCGGAGCAAGGCCCGATACCTCTCTATGCCTCGGTTTCTTCCCCTACAGGGTGAGGGGTCAGATTGGGTGATGTCTGACGCTGATAAGGATCCCCAGGGGGCAGACCAAGGCCCTGCACTGCACCAGCCTGAGGCGGACTCCATCCAGGTGAAACAGGATGGGTTCGTGACTTGAGTGGACAGCCCTCGCTTGGAGTCTGTCGGGGGTGGGTCATCCCCGGGCATCTAGATCGTGGTGCACACTTCTAGCCCCTGTTCTACCTGCCCCCATCCCCAGGAAGGCTGGCTAGAGCCACCTTCCAACCTGTACAGTTGCAGGGGGGGACTGGCCTCTGGAGTGTTCTAGAGAAAATCAGGCAGGGTACACTGTCCCCTCCTCCACTACCTTCAGCCACCACCAACGTCTGTACCTACAGGTGTAGCTCCATGTGGACAGAGGTCCGTTCCCCACCCCCGCCAGCTTTCTCACCTGCCCACATCCCAATGAGTAGAAAAGAGCCAACGGCTGCTCCTGGACACCTCGCAGGGGCCCCGTTCACCGAGTGCCCTGCCGGGAGCACACCTAGTGGAGCGGCGTCTCCGAGTTACTCTCCCAGAGCGTGGCCAAGGGGACAAGGAAAGTGTGTGTGTGCAGCGTGTGTGTGCTTTAGGTGGGGAAGGAATGTGTGGTGTGAGCCAGTGTCAGTATGAGTGACAGAGAGAGTGAGCAGCCCGTGCTCAGAGATAATCAAGCAAGGGCTGGCTCTGCCATTGTATACGGAGAGGCGAGGCTCTGACCCAGACATCTTCCCCATTCCTGAGACATTCCCTGGGAAAGGAAGGTGACATTGGAGAAAGCCCTGAGTCACTCAGTGGTGGGTAGGGGCTGGGACGTGGGCCAGCTGCATAGCTGAGGGTAGTGGGGCGCCCAAGGAGACGGGGTGTTTCCCCCGTGGGGCGTTGCTTCTACAGAGAACTTGCCGCGCAACCTTGGCCGTGCACTTTGTGCTTGCCTGCTTTCCTCACTGTGGGGGCAGGGGAGCTGGGAAGGATGGATGATTCATTCAAGTTTACAATTTCTACAATACTCTGGATGAGCATAGGGTCAAGATTGTGCACGTGAGGCAGAGGCATGAACGGACACACATGCCTGCAAGGCGTGAGCCCAAAGCTGGCTGGGGCTGGGGTCCCCACCGGATGCCTGGTTCTCAGCCCCTGGCCCGGGATCCTCTCTGCCTGCGTGAGATGGCAGGCTCTGAGGTTCCCACTCCCTGCCACAACTTTGCAGGCCAAAAGGCCATGCGGTCTGGGCCAGGCCTGGCCTTTCCCCTTCCTCTGAGCCCAAGCCCCACGAGGCTCCTGCGGGGTTCATCCAGGAACACGGCAGTCTCCCTCAGTCCAAGCTCCCTCCCAGTTTGAGGAAAGGATCTGGAGTAACAGGGGGGCTGCTGGTAGCAGCTGGAGGGAGGGGCAAGGAGGTCGCCAGGGAGATGGGGTCAGCTGAAGCCAGCAAACACAGGCATAGGGAGAGCCCTGTGGGCGTCGGGTGGGGCTCCCGCTGCCCAGGCCCCTGTGCAGTCTCCCTGGAGAGCTCCCAGGAGCCGGGGCAGGTCCCTGCATCCAGCGCTACTGTGGAGAAGCCTCCCGGGCAGCTCCTGCCCTGTCCCCGTTGCTGGCGTCAGGGTTAGGTGGTCCCATTCCTGGAGAAGCCAGCCAGGGAACAGGGGCCTCTGAGGCGAGTGGTGCGAGGAGAGGGGCAGAGAGGGACTGCACTCCCTCCGTCACCCCAGCCGTGGCAACCTCCCTTTGCAGGGAGCCCCAGGCTGCAGTGGGGCACTTGCCTTGCCCCCTCTTATTCCTGGTATCTTCCTTGTGTCCCCTTTCTCATCCTGAAGCCCCCAGTGAGAGTCTCCAAAATACTAATAATTCAGGCCAGGCGCGGTGGCTCACGCCTGTAATCCTAGCACTCTGGGAGGCCAAGGCGGGAGGATCGCTCGAGGTCAGGAGTTCGAAACCAGCCTGAGCAAGAGCGAGACCTCGTCTCTACTATAAATACAAAGAAATTAATTGGCCAACGAATATATATATATATAGAAAAAATTAGCTGGGCATAGTGGCGCATGCCTGTAGTCCCAGCTACTCGGGAGGCTGAGGCAGGAGGATGGATCGCTTGAGCCCAGGGGTTTGAGGTTGCTGTGAGCTAGGCTGACGCCACAGCACTCACTCTAGCCTGGGCAACAAAGTGAGACTCTGTCTCAAAAAACAAAAACAAAAACACACACACACAAAATACTAATAATTCAGCTGCATATATCTCCTGACACCAGCACCTCGGCACCCACTGGTCTTCCCTACCACCTCCTGTGGGAGATGGGCAGGATGCTGGAGAAAGCAACTGAAGTTCCGACAGATCACCCAGCTGCAGAACGGTAGCGTATGGGTGTGCTGGCTCCTCCTAGTCTGGCTATGCCTACGTCGTCTGGATCAACCCCACCACCTGTCTTTGCCTCTTAGGCCCCTTCCCGCCCAGCCTCCTGGGGACACAGCCCCACCCAGCCGAATTCCAGCCAGGGGGCCCCACGGAAATCAGGTGAAATATTAGGAATTCACCCGGGGACAAATACTGTGGCCTCAGAGAGAGGGACCCGGAGGCCATGGAGGTGTGGCTTTTCCCGCCACCCCAGGCCCTCCTTCACCCCTCCCTCGGCCCTGCCCCAGCTGCTCACCGCCAGCGTGGAGCACAGCCAGCAGCACGGAGGGGAACCAGGAGGTCTCGCTGTTGCTGGCCTGGAAGTCATGCTGCAGTTCCGTGAAGAAGACGCCAATGCAGGTGGGGAAGCCCAGGGTGAGGCCCTGGGTCACCAGCGTGGCCAGCAGTACCACCCAGGCCCAGCCACCGTCTGCCTGCTCCAGGGCCTGGGGCATCCTGTGCGACCCACCACAGCCTCACCGCCACTGTGACCGCTGCCTGGGGAGGGTACAGAACACAGCCCGGTTGATGGCAGGCCGCCAGCCTTCCCGGCCTACCTGCCTCCTTCCTGGGTGGCTGTGACCGTCCCTTCCTCGTGCCCCGGCACCAGGTGTCACAGAGGAGCACCACCCCTGGGAGGTGGCCAGAGGCCCACGCGTTGCTTTTGGCGTCTCCTTTCACCCACTTCCCAGAGCCAGCCTGGCAGGAGGCGGTGGGAAGGACAGGAGGTGCAGGGCAGGGCGGGCGGCAGTTGGCGGCAGGAGGCAAGGGGGTGGGATTCTTTCCAGTTGTGACATCACTCGCCATCGGCAGGTGGGTCACCTCACCCACTCAGTAACTGCTTGTAGCACAGAGCAGGCTCTGGGGCCAGTGTGGTCCCAGTGCCCCAAAGGCACACACGACTCATTTCAAGCACTCATGAGCAGGCTTCCTGCACACCAACGGACTTTCGCAACGGCTCACGACCAGCAAAGTTCACTGTCGGCGCTGTTGTGAAGGCCGGGAGCCAGCCGGCCCTCGGTGGCTCCAGGAGTGTACACACAACAGCTCCGCAAGCCGGCGCCCACCAGCAGCTTTGAGAAGGCACCAGTCTCACCTGAGGACCTTCGAAATCACACTACGAGGCTCCTTTCGCAAGGAGCTCAAGGCCAAGACTCAAGTTCCACAACCATGCTGAATAAAGATCTACCACCTGCAAGGGTTCTCCACCACACAGACACACACACACACAGAGGCACACATGGGCTCACGCCTGTAATCCTAGCACTCTGGGAGGCCGAGGCGGGAGGATTGCTCGAGGTCAGGAGTTTGAAACCAGCCTGAGCAAGAGCGAGACCCCGTCTCTACTATAAATAGAAACAAATTAATTGGCCAACTAATATATACAAAAAATTAGCCGGGCATGGTGGCGCATGCCTGTAGTCCCAGCTACTTGGGAGGCTGAGGCAGGAGGATCGCTTGAGCCCAGGAGTTTGAGGTTGCTGTGAGCTAAACTGACGCCACGGCGCTCACTCTAGCCTGGGCAACAAAGCGAGTCTCAAAAAGAAAAAAAAAAAATCAAAGGCACACACGGACACAGGGTGCACACTCCCAAAGACAAGCACAGACACACACATACACACACACACACACAAATGCACACAGACACACATGCATACACAGTCACTCGCACATAGACAAGCACAGAGACACACAGACACACACACAGCAAAGTCTAGAGACATGTACGACAGACATACAGATACGCAAGTTTACACATGAAGATACATACAGTCACACACTAGGCAGGCATTCAGACTCACACACACACAGGCCCACGAACACACACAGTCGCATACTGTGCGCACACACACTCCCTGACATCTCTGGCTCAGAAGGGTGCAGCCAGTCCTGTCTCAGTTCAGCGCCACTGCCCCAGTGCTTCAGGCCACGGCCCCCATCACAGGAGCTGCCATAACCAGGCCTCCAAAGTCCCAGGGCCCCTCCCCAAATTCAGAGCCTTTTTCTAATCCCCTTCCCACCCTCCCCTTCTGTCCCCAGCTCCCTGGTCCCCCTACAAGCCCTCACCACGCCAGGCTCCAGGCTCCCCAGGCTGCAGCAGGCGGTGGGAGGGAGCAGCCTTCACCTTCACCGCAGTTAAGCAAACTGATCCCTGCGCTGCTTTCCTACCGCATCCCTCCCTTTCGCCCCCAGTCCCGAGAAGGTCCAGGGAAACTTTGGAAACTCCCAGAAATATGAACCCCCTCTTCCTGCCAAGCCCAGCACCCCACCCCTCCCCCAGGGCTAGGAGTTTTAAAAGAGCACCCAAGCTGGATCCACCCTCAACTGCCTCCTCAGGGCCTCCCTCCCACCTCCCAGGGAACCCCAGGAGCCCTGCCAAGGTGGGCGTCCCATTTGTCACAACCTCAGGTGTGTGTGAGCGAGTGTGTGTGATCCTGCATGCAGGGCAGGGAGCACCTCCTGGCGCTAGAGCCCCTTGCAGCCCTGACCCGCCGTCCTGCTCGGGGCAATACCTCAGACGTGGGCTTCTCCAGCAAACTGGCTCTCGCCTCTTCCAGGATTTCTGTTCCCTCAGCAAATGCAAAGGCCACAGGTGCCACTTGATCCTCTCAGCGCTGCCCTGAATGTCAGGTTTCCACTCCCTTCTCCGTAGCTCGTCCCTCCTCCTGGCCCTCCCACCTGCCACCTTCCCCTCTCTGTCTCAGAAGGGCCCACCAGCCCTCCTGCTCCCTCCTGCCCTTCCCCACTCCCTGTCGCCCTGCCCTGCTCTGGTCTCGTCCTGCCCCTCTCTGGAGAAGCATGCACTTTTCTAGGCAGTCTTTTTGGGGACTTTGCCCAGGCTCCTGTGACCTTCACTCAGTACCCCACCATCCCAATGGAACCTTTCAGGGGGGCTGGCTCTTCTGAGCATCTCCTTTCTCCTGGCCTCTCCTGGGTCCAGGCTGCAGGCCAATCAGAGCCGAGGAAAGCCTGTGCACCTTCGCTCTGTCTGTGCACTCTGGGACCCCAGTCTCCCTCCCTCTGGGAGCACCCCCGCAGACTCAGCCTTCCACGAGAGGGCCATCCCCTCTTCCAGTGACTCCCGGGTCATGTGCATAGTGTTTATGTCCACTTGGTCCTCCAGCCCCTCCCCCATCAAGCTGGCCCCTCCTCACGGCCTTGGCTGCTGTGGGTCCAAAATTCCTAGCCAGAGATGTCCAACTGATCTTTCAAGATTCAGCCCTTGCAGCACCTTTAGGAAGCTGCCCTGATCCTCACCCAGGCTGAGCTAGGCCCCTTCCTGTTTTCTCTCTACTGAAGTGGACACTCCCTTGTTTGTCATCACCCCCACCCCTCCTACCCTCTTCCACACCATGAGCCCAGACCTGCTCATGCAGACACCCAGCCTCCAGCCGCGCACAAATGAGAATATTAGTGGGACCCACCTGTGTTCCCCAGAGGGCAGACAAGCCCAGGACCAAGGGTGATCTGGCTTCCTGGCAGGCAGGTCCATTCCAGAAGACTCAGCAGGGCAAAGAGACGGGGCTGGGGCTCTGGCCTGGCCTCTGCCCCGGTAGCGAGGTGGTCTTTTCTTTGCACTGTGAACCATGAGTCACTGCCTGGTGTGTGTGGGGGCCAGGAGGGAGACAGGGCCAAGACACTTGGCTCTCACTTCCTGGGACTAGGGGTGAGGCTGGGCCACAGAAGCTGCCAACCTCAGCTCTCAGAGCCTCCCAGGCCCAGTGAGACCAACTTCATGGCCAGGTGGCAAGAAGTTGGTTTGTGGGCAGGGCAAAAGTTTAGATGATGGTTCTGGTCCTTCTCCCATCTCACACACCCCCCCCCAGGCTATGCTTTTAGGGCCCTTGTCTGGTAACAGGGGCCTCGACAGGCCTTCAGAATCCTTTCCCCGACCTTTGGAGCTTCCAGGCATGGTCACAGGAGTGAGCCGATGCTCTCGTGGGGGTTTGCGGTTAGGGGGCTGGCGTCCAGAGTGGAGGGGTGGCCTCCCCTCCCTCTTCCCTGCTCTTCTGCCATGGTAGAAGAGGCCCAGGAACCAACCCCCAGCCCTGGAAGCTGCCTAAGAATGGGCAGCCCCAGGCAGGCCTTGGCGACCCCTGTGTCCCCAGATGCTGTATCAAGGAGGCTCCCCAGCCGGGAGCCCAGGGCATAGTGGGCAACAGGAGGGGTCAGCCCAGAGCTTGGGGACCGTCTCTGTGCCTGGCCAGAAGGGGAAGGGGAGAGGTGGCTCCAGAGGTGGTGAGCTGGGGCAAGTCACCCTCTTCCTTTCTCAGGTCCCCAATCGGGCCTCCCCACATTCCCCGCAAGGGCAGGGGCCCACAGAGCACAGCTTGGAAGGGGGATGGGCTAGACAACAGGGACTTCGTGACCTCCTCTCACCCCGGCCCCCTCCTCGCTGGTTTCTACTCTGCTTTCGCGCCCTTCCCAGCACCCAGCTCCTCTAGGTGGGGCTTCTGGGACGCCCAAACGGCGCCCGGCCCCCCAAACCCAGGCTGTAGAGGACAAGGGGCCCCTCTGGAAAGCCCCCCTCAGAGCTCAGTCACCCCAGGCTCGGAAAGCCAGCCTGGGGCAACTCAGGACTGGGACAGGAAGACTTTTCCGGATCCTCACCCCCACTGAGCCCGCCACCGGCGGGAAGGGATCCGGAGGCCCACGCGGGGGGACTGCGACTGCGCCAGCGGGGACCCAGGCGGGAGGGACGCCCTGGCGGCCGTGGGGGCCCGGGAGCCCGCTCACCGCCTCGCACGGCCGGCGGAGAGGCGGCTCCACTCCCGCCGAGCGTGGCGTCCGCAGACTCGCCAAGCCCGCGGCGGGGGAGGCGGGGGAGGTGGGTCCCGCGGAGGCTGGGCGGGGACTGGGCCGGAGCCGCGGCGCGGGGGCGGGGACCGCGCCCGAATCCTCCCGGGGTGGGGGTTAGGGGAAGGGGCCGGCGGCGGGACGGCCGCCCGTGCTTAGCACGCCAGACGCACGCTTTCCGGAGTCTCCATTCCCGGCCCCGGGTGCAGGGTCCCTGGAGTGGGCGGGAGAAAGCGCCGCAAAGGGGCTCGACCTCCTGGCGGAAGTAAGGTGGGGAGGAGGCAAAGGCCAAGGTCGAGGATGTGGGCTTTAGCCGCCCAGGGGTCCTGCCAGTGGAAGCCTAGAGCTTTGAAGGCTGCACCTGCGGGGGCCCAGACAGACCCCTCAAGTCCTGGAAACATGTCTGGGGACCCTCACCACGTCCACGCGCAGCCCTCAGAGCTGTTGGCCCTTTTCGAGCTTCTCCCCTACCTGGATGGCCCTTGAAGTGAGTCATTTAAAATTCATTAAATTACTACAGAGTTACAAGAATCAAGACATGTGTGCCGGCCGAGGGTGGTGGCTCACGCCTGTAACCCCAGCACTTTGGGAGGCTGAGGTGGAAGGATTGCTTGAGACCAGGAGTTCAAGACTAGCGTGGACAGCACAGGGAGACCCGCCCCCCACCTACAATAATAATAATAATAATAATAAAAATCAGCCGGAAGCATGCAGCTACTCGGGAGCCTTAGGCGTAGGATCAATTGAGCCCAGAAGAAGCCAATATGCTGAATCAGCAGGTTTTAGGGCTGAGAAAGTCTTTGTCAGAAAGTCTTTGTTCCGCAGAGTGCTAAGTGGGGAGATGGAGAAATTTCTCAGATCTCCCTTCCGGGGAATTTGGGAGAAGAGTTTTTAAGGGTAGTTTGACAGGCAAGGGATTAGGCCATTAATTTGAGGTTCGTTAATTGGGGCAAAATTATAGGGATGTAGAAAGCATCTTCTTGTGTTGTTTCAGTCCCTGGGATCACAATTCCAGTTGAGTCGGTTTCTTGGTATGGGCCACTGGTCTGGGTGGGTCAGTTCATCCACTGGAATGTGAGTTCTGGAAGACATCTTAGAAACTACCTTTAGGTTTGGAAAAGGTGATGCTATCTATGGGGAAAGTTAAGAATCTTTATGGACACCAGCTTTGAGGAGAAGTTAAGAATGTTAATTGTTACCGGATGCCTTGCTCTAGAGTGGCAATTACAAGGAGACAGTTACTAATTATTATTTTTAGCTAGGCCCTTACCACAGTTCTCGCCTTGTACCCCGTTTTTGAAGGGCAGTTTCAATGACACCACAGCCCTCTAGCCTGGGTGACAGAGGGAGATCCTGTAAAAAAAAAAAAAAGTGGAACTGGCAGAAAGATAGACATATAGATCAGT